CTTTTGTGACTTAAAGGGTTGAAAAATCAAAAGCCCACTCAAAGGAGTTATTAGCAAAATTTATCCCAACTGTGCTAATCAAACAAAAATAAGCACCACAGGAAACATTCATAAACTAGTATGTAACAATTGTATGAAAGTAGAAATGGTAATGAAAGCAAATAGTAAAAATAATCAAATAATTAACACTATATCAAATTTACTTAGTTTTAATTCCTTTTCTAGTTCTTTTTTATCTTTGTTTAACTTGTAAGGATTTTCTCATCTGTGTTCGAAACAAAAATTATAATCCCTAGAAAGGTAATAATCACTTCGTTCCTCTTCACAATCTTGGCAAGGTTCTTTTAATTTATATTCTTGGGTTAATTGTCGATCTAGTTTTTTCATATCAGTTTTATTCATTTTTTCTATTTGTCTAGTCATTTTCTTTGTTTTTGTTTCTTTCAAACTCAAAAGCATCTCACTTTTTTTGCCTATCTCATAATTTGGTAGCACATGTATTACTTGAACAATAATGAATAATTCCTACTTTACCTATTGAATCGTTCTTTTTACAAAAACTACATTTTACTATGGGTTTTGGTTCTTCAATAATTATTTCTTTTTTTGGTCTTCTAAACATTTATTTTGGTAAATTAATTGTTTTTACTTTTTAAAAGAGTTGATGGATGAAGTGGGGGGGGGGGGGGGGGTGAAGAAGTTCATAGTTTGCTGTAATCTTGATAGATTTCTTCATAAGAATTGTGGATATATCGAGCAGTAGTATCCAACCGACTGTGTCCCAACGCTTTCTGAATGGTAGTTAATCGCACTTCTTTATTGTTGCTATTAGTAGCAAGACTGCGTCGGAAAGTATGAGGACTAATCTGTTTGTTAATGCCTGCTTTTCTAGTTCTCTTATAACAAATTTCTCGAATTCAAGTATCACTTATTTTCCCGCCTTGATAATTTTTAAATAAGTAATCAGAACCACTTTTAAAATGCTTCGCTAAAAAAATAGGGAGGGGGATATACCTAACTTTATTGCCTTTGCCATGAATTCTTAAACTTCCACCTTGAAAATCACAATGGCGAATGTTAGTTAATTCACTAACTCTTATTCCGGTTCAAAACAAAAAATCTAAAATTGAATTGTTTCGCTGATTAATGGCAAAACTGGCTTTAGTTCTAACTTGTTTTAGTTGCTCCAATTCAGTCTCAGTAATCGTATCGAAAAATTTCTGTTGAACGGTCGGGATAATTCTATTGATTAATTCTCACTCAATTTCTACTTTCTTGAACTTAGCATAAGAAATTAAAGCACAGCGGTGAAATTGTAGACTAGCAGGTTCATATTTCATCAGATTTTTTTTAAAAAAGTTAGTGATTTCAGTAGTGTTTAATTCTCTTTCTCCATATTCTCGCAAACTCCAACTATACTTTCTAATAGTTTGTGAGGGAAAATTTCTCTTTTCTAATCATTCTCGATATTGATTTAGGTTATTGTTTACCATAATTTAATTTTATATACACTTTTTCACAATAACTAGCAATGTATAATAAAGAAAAAAGAATAAAATATATATAAAAAATAAATTGCAAAAACTAACCACGTTTTTTAGTAAATGTTTAGAAAGAAAAAATTATCCCTTTCCACTTTTTCTTCCTCTTTTATTTTTGATTAACAACAATATCTCATCGAACTTCTCTGCCTTATCTTTTGGCGATTTTTCCAACTCCTCTATTTTTTTTTTTAAATAATAATACTTATAATAAAGTTTAAAATATCCCCTATGCTTTGAGTAATTTCCTTGGTTTCTTTTTTGTAATTCTTCTTCAGTAAAAAATATCTGCTGACGTCCCATTTATAACTTATTTTTAGGATTTATTCTTATCAAAAATGGGAGGGTCGACCCCGAAACTATATATAAAATAAATTAATAAGAATTAGATGAGTTAATTTAGATTAGTTTTTGAGAAAAGCATTAAAAAGTAAATTTTGTTTAGTATTTACCATGTTTTTTAAACTGTAATTTTTTTGAGTAAGGGTTGCGATAGTAAACTTTGACAAAACATTTTTTGTCATTCTTTTGAAAATCGCCAATTTTACTTATGATCTCAGGTTGTCAGGGAATATAAACTGAGATACTGATAACTTGTTCTTCAATATAAACGATAAAAAGGACGGTTTTAGGACTAACGGTTTGCCCTTCTTGAACTTCACACTGTAATATTTTATTAAGAGGCATTGGATTTTTTCGGTCAACTTGAAGGTCAATTAATATTTGTAATCCTTCCTTATTAGTGATTTGAATAGCACAGTTGGGATAAATTTTGCTAATAACTCCTTTGAGTGGGCTTTTGATTTTTCAACCCTTTAAGTCACAAAAGTAGTAGGCTTTTCCTACTAGTGAATTTTCGTTGCTTTTGGAAATTCGACATCTAATGGGCGGAACAAGCTCGACTGACCACCGACCAACTAACCAAAGAAAAAACTTTTTCAGTTTTGCTCAATCAATTTTGAACTTCATATAAAAATTTTAGGAAGCTACGGGCAAAAGGGGACAAGATTGTTAAAAATGGCAAGTTTTTTTGGTTTAATAATAAGGGTAAATTAACAAAGACTATATTACAAGGCAAGTAGCAATTCATTAATAATTTAATTATATAAGTTCGATGGTATGAAAACCTTACCGCCTAAGAAAAGATTGACAATTTCGAAACATAATTGTGGAGGAAGGACAAAAAATATTTAACTCCAGTTTTACTATTTTTTTTACCACCAATAATTACAATAATTGTCGATTCGGAATTAGCACGCCCATGAAATTAGTCAAACTAGCTACAGACCGTAATTTTTATAAGCGGCAAGTGAAGTCAATGCTAATCTCTCACTTAAAAGAGGGAAAAAAGGTAAACAGTTGTCAAACCAACATTGAGCATTCTCATTCCGATTTGGTTATCATTATTCGTCATCCGTACTTAAAAAATGATTTCGTTACTAACCAAAAAAATCTTTATAAATTAATTGATTTGGTTGACCGAATGAAAGGAAAACCTAATGGCAAGAATTAACTTTTAGAAGAAAAACTTGTATTATTTATATTGTTGAATTCGAGAGTTTTTATTTATCTTTTATATTAACATGACATTTTACTAATAATTGAAGTTTGGGTTTGAATTATTAGTTAAAATTATTTCTAATGGCCAGAATGTTGGCATTTGTAAAAATTAATAATATATGTCGCATAAAGAAAAATCTAGTCTATATAAAGTAACCAATTTTTTACGAAATGGTTTGCGGATACTCTTTTTGGTTATTTTTTTACACTGAATTTTTTGACTTACTTCCTATGCTAACTGTGTTAATTATAAGGAAGCGATAAGCGAAAAAAATGTTAAGCAAGAAGAAAAAAAATTTACTGATAACCACGATGCTAAAACTGATAAATATCAGTTATTTACGGGATGATTTAACGAGAAAAAGGAAAAAGATATAGCGGAAATCGAGGAGGATGTTTTGGGTCAAATCGAGAAAAAAAAAGGACTGGCAAAAAATGATGATCTTCGCATCTGAAAGAACAAAAAACTGCCTGAACTAAACAAATTACGCCAAGAAAAAAAAAAATTAGAAAAAGAAAATCCTACCAAAGAGGAAAAAGAAGAATTAGAAAAAAAACAAAAGAAATATAAGGAGGAATTAGAAAAAGCCAAGGAGGAAACCATTAAAAATATTCAAACTCAATTAAAAAAAAATGAATTAAATATCACTGAATTAGATGATAATAAGGATTGGAAACAGCAAATATTACATGACCCCTTGAAATTTTTTATCGTTTCTCCACTTAACAAAACTAGTAAATTATTAGGATTGCAGGAGGCAAATTATCTTTGGGAAGCATCTTTAGAGATAATTCTTAAATTATTAATTATTGAGATAATTCTAGTTTTAATTTACTATTCAGAAACGATAGTAATGTGAGAAAATATGGAAAAAATTCGCGACCCTAATTTAAGCGTTGAGGAAAAAGAACAGTTAAATCTAGAAGCTTCTTCTCTATTTAAATACGCCATTTTTAATGGTTTTATGATGACTTTGTTTAACTTTTTTGTTTCTTTTCATCCGGCTTTCTTTGACCGCACCAAGCCTTTATTTGAGTCCGGAACGTCTGGAACTGCATGATGAGTTTGGCTTTTTCCTATTTTTTTCTCCCTGCTTCTCGCGAACATTAGTTTTGAGTTCTTGCACCATGGTCGCTTACTAACTATCCGGGAGTTAAAAGCTTGCGTGGCAAAAGTTTGGGTTGTTAGTCTCTTGGTTACTTTATTTTCAATGTTTTTTATGAGAATAGCTGGCATGAGTAGCGTTGGTAATCATTTAGTCTTTCTTCTTGCAGGGTTTGTTAGGTTTGCAATCAATACTTTTCGGGTTAAAGTTTTTGGTCATCGAGAACATTTTCCACAAAGAGGCAATCCAACTCACTCTCTAAGAAAACCTTAAAATGTTCCCATCTTTTCCCTAAGGATTTAGTTGAGAATAAAAATATTTTTTAATCAGAAGTATAGTTTAGATATAGTTGGTTAATATATTCTCAATTTAACAAGTAACTAATCAACTTTTCAACATAATCTTGGCGATTAGCACCATAATCATAGATGTAGGCATGTTCTCAAACATCAATCGCTATCAGCGGTCGTAAATTCAAAGTCCACGATCCATCTTGGTTCGCGGTGTTGATAATCTCTAATTCACCTTTTTTATTCAAAACTAATCAGGTTCAACCACTTCCCTGCACTTGTAAGGCACTTTTTACTATTTCTCTTTTTAGTCCTTCGAATTTAATGAATTTAGTTTTAATAAGTTTTAGCAAACCCTCATTAATTCTTTTCTCAACTTGGTAGTCGATGGGTTGAACTTTGAACTTGGCGAGATGAGTAAAGAAAAAATTATGATTAATTAGTCCGCCACCAAAGAAGCGAACATTTTTTCTTATTTCCTCTGGCAACTTCTCCAAGTTTTCCATTAACTTTATCAGAGTGGGGAATTGTTTTTCAATTTCAGACTCTTCCTTTTTTTTATTTCCTCGAAGAGTTTCTAATAATTTCAGTTCATAGTTTTTATGGAGAATGTTATAATGATAACGCATTGTTTGGAAAGAAATTATTCATTCTAACTCATTAAGTTCATATGGCAATTTTATTCTTTCGTATTTTTCGTAGGGTAATAATTCAACTTTTTGATAGGTATTCATAATTAATAATTTTTGTATTTATGCTCTTATAATAATTATAAAAATGATTTATACTACTTTTTAATGAATCAAAACCGAACAAAAGGTTTAAAAAAAGTAGTATATAGTTTAACAATAAATAAGCATATAAAAACATGGATTTCTCCGAATTTAAAATTAAAAACATTACTCGAAACTGTGCTAAGGGAGGGGTTAACTATCTTTATTTTTTTGAGTTGGAAGAAGTTATTAGAGTGGATGGTAATGATATTAGTCAGGTCGGAGTTGAGGCTGATACTAATGTCTTAAATAATGATACTCTTGAAGAAGAAATGCTGATAAAAGGGGGTTATGTTAACATTACTAATGTAAAAAAAACACCTTATGTGCAAGATTACAGAATTATAGGAACCAATCCTGCAAAGACTTTAATTATTGAAAGAAATTGTAGAATTGATGTTGATTTGAGAGGAATAGCAAAGATTGTTTGGCATATTGAGAATGGTTTTAATTTTCATACTGATCTAAATCGAGACCTTTTTGTTTGTCCTGCTGATGGTTATTCGGTTGGCAGAGGAGTGATTAATAATGAGGAATTAGAAACTATTACTGATACTATTGTAAATTACATAAGCCATCATCAAGGAGAGTTTAGTTTGAGTGATACCACCCGAAATTTAACCACCATGCCACGAGCGATTGAGCGACCGTGATATTCTCCCCTAAATCCAGAAGGGGATAGATTGACCTACAATGCCTACGGCTTAGGAGAAGAGCAAGCCGGGAGAATGAGATACATAGAAAAAGGAACAGGGGCACAACACCGTTGCCTTTTTCCTAGATTTTTCTCGGAACAGCAATATGAAAGAATAAAAAATGCATTAGGGGATAATGTTTCATGCAAGGTGCCTGGTTGCTACAATAACTATGCCGGTACCCGAAATTATAATGAAATCGATGAGGTCAGCGTAATCAATGGACGTTGCGGTTATCATCGAAGAATGGAAAATGGAGATTTGCCACTTCCTAACCAAGAACCAGAAGACCAAACAGCAGGGGCGGGTATTTCTGAGCACGAAAGAAAACGGATAATTAGAAACGCTCTAAATAATAATAATGAATTAAAAAGGATGCTGGAAGCGAATCCGCATGTTTCCGAAGATTTTTTTGTAGAAATTTCATTAGATAGTTGAATAAAAGATGGAAGTATTGACCTTGCAGAAATTAAAGAATTTTACCGAGAAATGGGTTGAACAATTCCTGAACCAGAACAAACCTCTAATGAAATATGAACCTGCTAGTCTACAATTTCACCGCTGTGCTTTAATTTCTTATGCTAAGTTCAAGAAAGTAGAAAT